CCGGCGGCCTTGTCAGCTGAAGGTCTCAGAAGATCCACCGGAGTCGTCTGGGGTTCTGTACTCCCGTTGTGGCGCTTACCATTTCCATCTTGCCATGAGCTTGTTTCCTCACTTCCAACTGAGGGTCCTATTGAACACGCGGAATGGCTGAGAGAAGTTGATGGTTCGCTTGGGTTGTCTTCCATAGAAACATGAGACTCCGTTGCTATTTTCCCATCGTCCTGGGTGTCGGCGCCCTTGCACATAGGTTTTCCACAAGCTTTGTTCTTTGGCTGTTTTTGAGTTTTGCTCTTTCCCTTTTTCTTGCGAACTTTAGCACTATTCACCGCGTTTTGCACACTATCGTTCGCTTGCAGAGTTCCCTTAAAGCAGTCAGCTCTTTTTCGAGTTTGTGCACTTTCAGCAGAATAAAGGAGCATCCAGTGCACGGCTCGTCCTCCTAACTAACAGGTTTTGCAGTGATAACGCTTTTAGCGCGCTTTGCGGGCCCCTGGTTGCTACTATAAAGAGCGCGAGCGCTAATCCTAGGTGGCAAGGCCTTCTCAATAGACTTTCCTTCATACATAGTGTCGTTTGTACTACGAATAATGTTTACTCCTTTATTTATTTCCGTCTGCTGGCCGTGCGCCGATAGTCTAGCGGTCATCTCGCTGGTCACACTACGAATGGACCTGGGTTCTAGTCCCACTCGCGGCGAGTTTTTCGCACATTGTCCTGATGGTGCTTTGTCGACTCCCATTTTTTAAAACGATACGCAAGGGGTTCTGGGTATTGGCGAAGTATTTAAAGGTGTAGGAGAAGTTTTTTAACCAAGCCAACAATATGAAGTAAATATCAAACGACTCAGCCGCTTCTCGATCTGGAGAGCCCCGCGGTGTTGTTGGCAGAGAATTGATACGAAGGAGTATGGTCGTCCCAAAGAAAGTTCTGTCGGAGGTCTGAGTGGATCGTTCGAGGAATTGCTGATTACGCTTCAATTTCGTAATCCAAATGGGCCCGCAGAGCGTCCAGTAGGCAGAAATCCCGGAAAAAGCAAATCCCTCGGAGGTCGAAAATTCCAAACCGAATTCGAAAGACGCGCTGTGGGGTACCACGATATCAGAATTGCTAGACAACCTTTCAGAGGTCCTAACTGGGTAGCAGGAGGCCGACCTGACGCCCAATCCAAGGAAGTACAAATTTCTCAAAAGAGAAATTTGCTTCCTCGGACACATTGTCAGCAGTGAAGGCCTCAGAACGGACCCTGACAAGGTCCAGGTAGCAAGAGACTGGCCACAACCGGTCAACGGAGATAAAGTCCGCTCATTCCTGGACCTAGCAGGATACTACAGGGCTTTCATACCGTCGTAAACCCGCCTTGCCTCCCCTCTCGCGAGACTGGCCGAGAAATCCCGACCATTTAGGTGAACAGCTGAGTGCGAGAACGTATTCATCCACCTCAGGAAGCCGTTACCGCCGCCCCCATTCTCACTTTCCCTGATCTCAGCCGTGACGGACCCCCATTTATCATAGATACAGATGCTACTAGTCACGCCATAGGAGGAGTACTGTTGCAGACAGACGCCGATGGCGGAGAGCACATCATGCAGCATGGCAGCCGTACGCTTGATAGATCGGAACAAAATTATGGCGTTCCGCAGCTCGAGATGCTGACTTTGGTATCTTTTGCCAACACATTTGCTGCGTTCATCATCAGGACGGAGCACGCAGCTCTAAAGTGGCTACAAAATTTCCACGAACCGCAAGGACAAGGGGCAAAGTGGCAGGAAATGTTGGCGGATTTGGACTTTACCGTGTTACACCGTCTTGGGAAACAACACCTCAACGCGGACGCACTATCAAGAATTTCCATGCCCGAGACCCACAGCTGCTCCACTTGCCAAGATCACGATGTCAATGCTCTGTCGGTGACCACTTCGGCGGTGAACTGGGCTAGCCTACGAGCCAACGATCCAGACGTCGGTCTCGTCTACGACCGATTTGTGCGCGGTTCCATCAAACCGTCAAAAAATCAGATGTCAGGAGGAAGCCGTTAAGCACAAGTCCTGAGGGCCAACTGGCAAAAACTTCTCATGAGGGATCGCGTGCTTTTTTTCCAGTATGACCCTACAATCCCCGATCCGCCTCGTCCTCCCTCCGTCTCATACACGCAGTGTCCTACGGGAGTTACGTCACCAACTGGGTAACGCGGGACAAGGCAAACTTGAGAAAGCGGCGAGGCTTGGCTTCTGGTCACCTAATCTTCGTCAAGATATGGCGTTCATATGCCAAGAGTGTGAATTTTGCGCGCGATTTAAACATCCCACTCACAATCCCGGATAAGGGCTGCAACCGATTTCCACCGGCCATCCGAATCAGCGCCTTAGAGTCGAAATCGTTGCCCTCTTCCCACAATCGCGGAAGGGAAATCGACACCATTTAGTGATGGTCGACTTTTTCACCAAGTGGGAGAAGGCAGTCCCCCTGCCAGACCAGACAACGGCAACGGTCTCAGAGGTTACCCAGTGTGCTTGGTTTGCCCTATTCGGGGTGCCAGATCGTATTCACTTCGACCAAAGTTCCAATTTCGGAAGCCTCCTAGTACATGAACTGTGTAGTCGACTCGGCATACAGAAAAAAGGATTACAGCATATCACCCACAAGTCAATGGACAGACGGAAAGAACAAACAAATCGCTTTTGTCCCTATTACGAACTTTCATAAATACAGCCTACAGCGACATCTGGGACACCCTTATCCCGCATTGTTTCCTCTCCTACCGCAGTACAATGCACAAGTCAAAAAGGCTTAACTCCCACGATATTGACTTATGGCCGGGGACCTCAACTCCCTTTAGACTCCTATCTACCTACCCCACGACCTAAGTTCCGACGCCCCCATTCTATGTCACGAGATTGATGGAGAATGTTAACGGCTGGCTCGCACACACCTGCAGCAATCTCAACTATCTCAGGCCCCCTTTTACGACCGGCACATAGACGTTTGACCGTTCTAACCAGGCAATATGGCGTGACTTCAAAGGGCCAGTCCTCTAAATGGACAACCTATTAAATTCCACAGTCCGTGGTCGGGCCCGTTCTCCGTCGCTCAGTATTTACTCGACGATTTTTATCTAGTATGCGAGGCTGACAACCCGAACACTCTCATAGTCCACGAATGAAGGCGAAATTACGAGTTCCAGGTGCATGCATAAGTGAAGAATAAGATTAGAGCACCTGAACACTTTGTTGATTGTCCTGAGCTTTCAGACTCGTAAGGAGACCATCGTCAGAGGTAGTCCACTTTAAACAGGTTAAAGGCGGGTCAATCCCTCGAACCTCCTGACGCACCTCTCATAATTCCTAATGACAATATCCCTGTTGGCCAAACCAACGAAGTTTCTCCTTCCAGCCACTGAGGACTGTTGCTTTTCAGGCAGGGAGGCTTTGTCACGCACGCCACACTTCAGTTGTACTTTGTTTAGACATTCCTGGTCTGCCCAATTGACTATAACTTCAAAAAGAGCCTGGCCCGCCTTCCACTTTCGTCAATCCGGACTTCGTAGGTGCTTTATTATCAATACTTATTAAATATACGTCGCCGCTTTCCACGTTGTACGTCACTGTGTGTGGTGTGAACTGCCTGTCTCCATCTCACTTGAAATATTACAGTGATGTAATCGCGTGATGGTAAAGACGGCGGGTATTCCTTCCTCTCACTACCGCCGACACCCTCCCCCCTAACAACGTTACGTCGTTTTCGTTGCTCGCTCGCTCTCCCTCTCTCGCTCTACGTCGGCTCCCCCCTCGTGCTTCCCTGAAGTTGCCTAGTGCGCCACATCCACACGGGTGGTTTAGCTAGCATGTCAGGGTCACCTCTCTATCCAGACAGGTTATCTCATTGTTGTCTCTCATTCTACATGTAAATTAACAATTAACATACGTATTTCTCGTGCCCATCTCGTTCCACTATACTTTAACCATTACTTGACTTACATTCGCCTACGAGTGAACGAATATCACGAAATGCTAACGGCTCCGTTCAGATAAATCGCCGCCAGGATTTCTTCCCAGCGCTTCGTTACTTTGGTGTATGCTATCCTTGACATCTTCGGCCGCTGTATTTACGACACGACGTCTTATAACGTACCACAAGTTCGATAGGGTTGTTTGAACGATCTCAGGTCACATTGGCGCGGATCCCGGATAGGGCTGGTATAACGCAACA